GGGCTGCTCCTTCGGGCTTCGGGCGCTGGGAGGACCAGCCCGTTTCTCGGATCGGTTCCGCGGATTGGGAAACGCAGAGGCTGTGCGAGGGAGCGATCGGATTAAGGTGGCCGTGTGAATGCAGCGGGGTGAGAGTCTGCAGAAAAACGCTCCTTAAATAATCTCCGTAAAGAACGGTCCAGCTTGATTTTCACCTTGGCCTCGATCTCTCCATCCCCTCCCCGTCGTAAACCCCAATATCCCCAGGGCTTTTTTTGGATAGGCAGGGATATGCCTCCTGAGATGCTCCTTCTTCCATCCCAGAACCCCCCCAATGTGGGACAGCTTACAGAATTAAAAAGATTTAAAAAATACTATTATTCCATATTATTATATAATTCAGCTTGCAGAATTAAAAATATTAAAAAGTCATTTAAATCCTGAGAAACTCAGAACAGAGGATTGCCAATGGCCAATATTGTGCTTTGCTTTCCTGCAACAGGAGAGTCCTGTTAGTCCACGTGGGCATCTGAGGGAGGGAGCTCCAGATTTAATAAAGTTTGTTCCTGGGAAAAGACACTGCCACACTCCTCCTCATTTCTTGCAGTGACTTCTTAGGCTCCAGCTTTCCCGCAGAAGGACAAAAGGTGTCTCTCCTTTATGGCGGGCTTTGCATCAGGGCCAGGATGCCAGAATTGGGAGGGGGGGACGACAGAATCTCTACTACTGTAGGTCACCCCCCATTCCAGAAAAAAAGGGAACCTCTCCCTCAGATTGAACTCAGCGTAACAACAGAGAAGCGATTTTCTGTTGCCATCTTGTGGGATGTTTTTGTGAGTTTCTAGCCTCTCCTTCAGCCCCTGAGATTTCCTGGTTGTCTCCCAGCCAAGGACTAAACAGTTCCTTTCCTGCTTCTTTTTTCAAAATCTGCCAAGGTTGGCTCAGTGTTGCTGTGAACACCTCGTTGTGACTTTATGGACACCACTGTGGGATATTCTTTGAGAACAGCATGAAAGAGAGAAAATACATTTTGGACTCTCCTGCTTTTCAAATAGTAATGTATAGCGTCATTTCAGGGTTTTAAAATATTCTGACTGAATGTCTAGTTGTTATTTTTCTAACAAATAATCATAGCCTACTGCAGGGATTTTCAAACTTTTTCAGGCCACGGAAGCTTTTAGATAAAACAATAAAAATCCTTGAATTTGACAATTATTTGGGTGGTCGACATTTTAACAAAGAAGTCAGTGTTGAAGGACTGGAATGTGATTGATTTTCCTTGGATAAAAGTCATAAGCGGAATCATCTTCTATATTTAGCCCAATTTTATACTTATTTTTAGTTGCTGCGTCTCTGAAAGGTATTTCAGGGCTCAATTCGCAATTCCAAGATATTCTTTGTAGAGTTCTACAGGAGGAAATGTTGTTTGCAGTGTGAATTCAGTCAAATTCAACTTGAATTTCTCAAACCTTGTGCCATAAGAATTAGCAGCAACAGCACTGGAATGGTTTCACTTCTTTGGTTTTTATCTATTGTGTACTATCTGCCATTACACCCATTTGTAGCCAATGATCCGTATCTGGAAAAATGTTCACATTACATATTTCTTAGGCCTAATTAAAAAAACAAAACTAAAATAAAATCAGAAATAAAATCTCCTCTTCTTTCCCCCCTTTTCACGAGCTGGCCGAGGGAGAGCAAACCCGGGTCTGCTGGCCAAGCTGCTGCGTCACTCCAGCTGTGCCTCAGCGCCAGGCCGGTCCTGCTTGTCAACCGATCGATTCAAGCCCAGGTCTCTTCAGCTGGACTGCGGATGCCCCACCTGGGGAGGGCCGGACTTTCCTTGGGGGGATTCCCTGTCTGTGGACCTCCCTACAGCCGCAGAGTTTCACTGGGCCCCGTCTTCACCGGCGTCCAGGACCCCTTGGCCCCTCTCCTGGTTCCAGGCAGCCCTGGGCCCCTCTGCCGAGTGAATTTAACTTACTTGTTAGTGGTTTTCTGCGTGTTCAGAACCTCCCAGAACAAGTCGCTGAAACCTCCAGATGTGGTCTTGCTGTTCCACATTGTGGCATTTTGGACTCCATCGTGGTTGTCCCAGTTGTCCAGCTACAATTGTCTATCCTAACCCCCCCTTTAGAAAACTGGAATTCTCTTTCCTTTATTCTCTGTCCCACCCCCTTTTTTTCTGTCTTTAGCATTTTTTCAGTTTGAGTGGCCTCTGTAAATGTTAATATCTCCGAGGAAGTTGGAAAACATTTGGAGGTCTGCGGTGACAGCTGTGAATTTCCACCACCGATTTGGTTTATTTATTTGTTTATTTGATTTGTTAAGGCTGCCCAACTCGAAAAAGACTGGGTGACTTACAGCATATCCAATATATTAAGTTTGAAAAATACAGCTAAAACAACAGGATAGCCTGGGCTTCCCCAAAACCAGAAATATTTTGCTTCTGATGTTGGCCTAATTCTTTTTCATGTCTCCTCATTGGTGTTTTTAAATTGTAACTTTCATTGGTGTTCATAGTAGTTTTTATGACTTGCTCTTGAGTAAAGCAAGATAAGATGTTTTTAATGATGATGATAATAAAAATTTGGGTTGGAAAGCAACAGCCTGATACAACTTTGGGAGAAACTGGATTAGTGTCTTTTACTTATGTTGTGCAATAATTTTGGTGTTAAAGTTGTGTGGCTCAAACCATTTTGAACATAAAGATGAAAAGAATTTATAACTATGAAATTGTAACATGTAGGAGTCAAGTTGTGCAAAGGGAAAGCCCCCCTCCCCCCCAGCTATCATTGGAGGGGGGAAATGGGAACTTCTGGCTTGGGCTCAGCATGTTTGCGTCCAGGGTTGGAGATTCAGGGCCAGTGTTGGCTTCCGGGTCTGAGTTACCAGTGAGTAGTCAGGAAAGGGATCCTGGGCTGTTCCTAGTTGTTTGCTCAGAGAAAATATTGATGCAGCTAAAGGCATCCAAAAATGTTGGAAGTATCTTAATGGTTAAATAGACCGGGTTGGTGGTGGCAGAAGAGAAGGACCTCTGGGTGGTGACATGAAAAGAACCACTTGCTTGGACACAGACAGTCCCCAGCTGATGAGCCGGTTCTGACTTGAGGCAGATTCACCTTTGTGAGGACGGCCAACCTGCCTTGCAGCCACAGGATTCTCTCCTCTCAAGCAGATTTCAGACCTTCTCAATACTCAACCCTGCAAGGGAAAGAAACCATTCTGGGTCATGTACAGAATCAGATCCTGCGCCCCCCCGCCCCCCACACACACACCCAATTTCTCTCCT